GCCCTGGGCACAGTCCCCTGTGCCCAACAATCTCCCCTTCCTTCAGGACTCGGGGGCCCCACCTACTGTGCAGATCACACCTGCTCACCTGCCCTGCCTACAGCCTTTCAGGGGCTTCCCAGCAAATCCCACCTCCCTTCCCTTGCTCAAGAGGCCCTGCTCCTGGATCTTGCCTTTGCCTGGCTTTCTGACTATGTCCCCTGCAGTAACTGCTGACTCCCCCACAACCAGCACAGAGTCTGGCATAGGGGAAACAATGTGCCGATGAAATGAAGGCAAGAATGAGTGAGCAGATAAATGAAAAAGCTTTGCAGAGGAAGGCGTGTTTCAGATGAGCGTTTCATGAAAGCAGGGTAGGGTTTCTCAGGCAGCAAGGCCCAGGAGTGTGAGGTGGCAAAGCGAGGGCTTCTACGTATGGGCAAAGACACAGGCAAGGACGTGGAGGAATGCCGGGAGCAGCCTGAGAGGCGGCCTGGGTAGGACCAGTGGCAAGTCGGTTTTGCAAGCCAAGCGTGAGCTGCGAGCCCCCGGAAAGCTTTCCAACACGGATGGTCGGGACCCACCCCGGAGACTCGGATCCTGACATCTGAGGTAGATGTCTGAGAGTTTGCCTTCCTCACGGGCTTCAAGTGGTGCTGGTGCTGCTGCTCCAGGGACCGCACTTGGAGAACAGCTGGTGTAAAGTGCTCCGAGGAATCCTCCACCTGGAGGCGAGAGCAAGACAGTTGCCGGGAGGTAACTTAAGGCAGAGGCAGCTGCACACTGAGCCAAGAGCAGTTCGAGCTAACACCAGCCAGCGGTGAACCCACCCTCGCCGCTGCCTGTTCCATCCCTCTCCAGACGAAGCCCATGCCGACCTTGGCTTCGGGCCATTCCTCCCCATGGCACTCAGCCTTGCTCTTGTCCTCCACTGAATTATATCCTCTGAAGGGTCTTTTGTTTCCTCCAGCAAAACTTACAAATCCTGAGTCCTACACCTCCAGACTACCTAATCTCACATTCCAGTTCGCAATGAGGTTGCTGTAACCGACAGGAGACCTGGTGTTAAGTCATGTTGCACAGAGGAAACAGTTGTCATGTGCTGAGCTGAGGAGTTGGCTCTGTTTGGGCAGAGGAGAGAGAGGAGAAGGAGAGGTCACCCCTCCTGGCCTTCCTGGCACGCCACGCTCTTCAAGTTCACCCTGCAGTGCAACTCTGACATTGGTCCATACCCTCTTCCAGTGAGAAAACAGGGCAGGAGCAGTTCCAGGGTTATGAGCAAGGGTGCTCGTACTCACAGCATCAACCTAGTGACTGTACATGTTCATATTTGGTATTCGTCCTGCCTTTGCTCCTGGAGAGAGAAGATGCTCAGAGAGGTGGGGTTAATTTGCATCCGCTTCAACCATTAAAGAGGACCAGGTAGCTAATGTGCAGGTCCCGCAGTTTTAAATGCAGATGGCATTTCTGCAGGCCTGACACAGAGCACTCAGCCACCGACGTTCTCCAGGCCTTCAGAGTTGGGCCCACAATCTGCTCAGCACTGCTCCACTTACGGGGCTCGGCAAGGAAAGCTCAGGAGATCAGCGCAGGAGATGGTTTGGATTGGTTTGATTTGGCAAGCTTCCTCGTGCAGGTGGGAGAGATAGCTCTTTATCTCCGTGATGCAGCCCAAAGAGAAACCAGGAGTCCCGGCTGTCCTATTATGGGAAAAAGAGAACAATCCTCCCCCATGAGTCTCTCTCTTGATTCTGATGGGCCTTTTATTTTCCGAGGCTGGTGACCAAAATATGCACGCTGCAGAGTCACAGTGACCTGGTGGTGTGTTCTGGCTCTGCCACTCTCCGTCTGGGTGATGTGAGGCAATTTTAGGCACCATCATCTGTACACTAGGTGTGCTGGTGTCAGGGTTAGAGATCATGAGCAGGTTATGAATTTATGAGTGCTGAGTATTTAGTTTCACGTCAGGCACAGTCACTGAGCTGCTGTGTAACAAGCAGCCTTCCATGAACAGAAGGCTCTTGCTTCTAACACTGGCCAATCTCCCTGATGTAAATCCTCTCACAGTGGCCGATAGTGAGCTCCCACTATGCTATCCCTCCCGAGCGCAGACTTGGGAGGAGATGCACAGGGATGTACCATTACACAGGGTTTCCAGGGCACAGATTCAACAGAAGTCAATAACCTCCAGAGCAGGGCTGACAGTCAAACAGAGCAAAGCAGTTATATATTTAGGACATTTCATTTTGAGTATTAACTGGGTTTTCATAGAATTTATGTAATTGTAAGTTCACGTAATTACAACTTTCACAATGGCTGTGTTTAACCACTGGCTCCCAAAACTCCTGGAATCTTTACCAGTCTGCCCCAGCAAGCCAGGACAAGCCACCCCAGCACGTGGGCTGGGCACATCTGTATGTGGTCAGGACATTCCCTGCCCTCCGAAGTTCCTGTCCTCAGCCCTGGAGAGGATTTCATGAAGCTTTCCCAGGTGGAGACACAGAGCCTCCTCCATGGCCGGCTCTCCACGCTTTACTTTTGACCTTGGCCACCATCCCGGTCCTGGGCCTATGCTAAACCTCAGCCAAGGTCCCAGCCCTCGTCCTGCTGCCTCACTGCCCTTTCTACAGTGGAGGAGGCAGAGCTCCCCTCCCTCCCCCTGCTAAGCCGAGGTACCTGCAGGAGAACAGTGAAGGGGCTCTCTGGCTGACTTGGGGGCTAGCAGGTTATTTTAAGATCCTTCTGTGAAGGAGATGAGGAAGCAGGGCCAGCCACTGAGCTTTGGCAAGTGAGGACCTATAATTAGCCTCGGCTTGAGGCTTGAATAAGCCTTGGTTGTTACCAAACATCAGCTAGAGCAGGAAGGCCTCCAGCTTCCCTGAGCCAAGTGCTGCACGAGCTTCCCAGGACAGACATTTGGACAGAACTACCCTCTCTGCTGGACAGTGTCCAGTTTACCCCAGAAAGTGCTCCTGCCCTCAACCCCAAGTGAGAAGGAGGAGGGAGGACACAGAGCAGCCAGCCCCTCACTGCGGCGCGTCTTCAAGCCACGGGCACTTCCTACCCGACTCCTTCCCGGATTGCTCCCTGCAGCCTCTTCTTCATCAAGAGTTTGCAATCAAGAGGGAAATGTTACAAATTAACGCACAGGCTACTGTTGTAGCTGGGCAAAGCTAAGGCTGAAAGGAAGTACAATAGATCCAAATCCTGGCCGTGTTTATTCTGGAAGGCAGGATTTGGGGTGATTGCATTTTCAGCCATCTCTCTGCCTTTCCAGAATTGTATGACTCCAAATATGTATATCCAACCTATGCTCTGGAGTGTTGCTTGGTTTTCACTTTTTCTGCCCATCCGCCTGGATCCCACATTTAAAAAGCAGAAACCTGTCACAGACAAAATTAAGCTGTACCAAAGGGAAGAATTCTAAGAATTTAAGCTTCAGGGTCCCTTATTCGTGCACACCCCTTTGTATTAGTCTTTTTTTTTTTTTTCTTTTTCTTAAAGGCAGTCTCCCAAATTGCGTAAGCCCCAGGCCCCATATAGGTGGCCACCCTTCCCCCCCCCCCCCCCCCGCACTGGCCACATTGTCTAGAGTGTTAGTAAAGCCTTCTTCTCTCCAGCAGTCATGTTCCAGCCCACAGTCTAGATACCTGCTGTGATTTGGTGTCCTGCACTAGAGTGAGTTATTTGCCATGGGCATCACTGTGAGAAATCGAGCAGGGTGATTGCCCTTGGCTTCGAATTTGTCATCTGAAAAATGGCCTTAAGCATCCCAGGGGGTTGGAGACCACCCCGGGGGCCCAGAGACCGTTGAAATTCTTCAAGCTACCCAGTCCTAAACCTGCTCAACTGTTAACCCTGCCTCACCCTTTCCTTCCCAGGAAAGCCACTATAAAGGCTTTTGCCCACGTTTTCCCCTCATCTTTAAGTGACCAACCCTGGTACTTCCTCCTCTGGACCTGCGTGGTGGAGCTGCCCCACCCCTTGGTAACTGTAACAGCTTTTCAATGTCAGTCATCTCCTGATCTGTTGGCCTCACCATATCTAAATAAAAACAAAATCTTGGGTACATTCTGCAGGGTTTGGGGAGCTGGTTTTGAAAAACCACTTTTCACGGCTCCATGAAACCCCCAAATCGTATGCACAGTGTTGATGTTCATATGTATGTTTTGAGGGTGGATGAAATTCTAGAGCCAAGTTGTACAATATATTGGCAACTGGCCACAGGTGGATATTCAAATTTAAATTAAATTTAAATAAGGGCACCTGGCTGGCTCAGTGGGTTAAGCATCAGAACCTTGATTTCAGCTCAGGTCATGATCTCAGGGTCGTGAGATCAAGCCCCAAGTCAGGCTCTATGCTGAGCATGAAGCCTGCTTAAGATTCTCTCTCCCTCTCTCCCTCTGCCCCTCCTCTCCCCAGCTCATGTGCACTCTTTCCCGCCCCCCCCAAAAATCTGTTAAAAATAATGATAAATTAAATTTAAATAAAATTAAATTTTCAGTTCCTCAGTCATCTTTGCCACATGTTGATTGTTCAGTAACCATGTGTGGCCACCATGATGGATGGTGGAGACATAGAAGAGTTCTATCATCACAGAAAGTTCTATTGGGCAGCAATGAACTAGAGACTTCATCAGCTTTTCAAGGGTATCCATGACCAGAAAATGTGAAAAGCCACTAAGTCAAACCAGGGAATCTTCATTTAAGGAGCCTGAAACTTCCCTGGGAGTTGAATGTTCAGCATTATGACAGAGGCTATGAACAAGTCTGCCTTTGAGTAATATTTTAGCTCCAAAAATCCAACTCTAAAGACTCTTAAAAGGCATCCAGATTTTATGTTTTCTGGTTTATCTGCTCTCCGCCTTTTTGGAGAGAGACACTTGGATTCTAAAAATATTTGCTATGAGAAAGGTGCTCTAAGTTCCCCCCAGAACCTCTGTGCCCAGTGCTAGTCACAGTGGGAAGGGAGGGAAGACGGTCCAGTGACCTTGTCTCCTCTGATGTGTGTGATCTTTCTAGGTGGGTGAGGCAGTCCTGGAAAATGCCCAGCTCATGCTTCAGACAGAGAATATCCAGGCGGGTGCGGACGACTTTAAAGAGAGGTAACATTTGCCACAGAGGGGACAGTCCCTCTGCTCCTCCAGACTCCAGGAGAAGTTGCGTGATGCTGTTCCGGGGTCTGCAGCATTCACTGCCTGCAGCACAGGAGGCTGGAGTGAGATCAAAGAGGTCCTGGGAGAATCCGGAGCAAAGATCTTCCGGCTCAAACCCTCCTTATAGACACAAACCAGGTCCCAAGGGCTCAGAGATGTTGCCCAACGTCTCCTGGTTCAGAGTGGAGTTCTCAAATTGTAGCATGCTTCAGGACCCCTGGGAGCTCTTACAGAAGACACAAATTGCTGTGACCCACCTTCTGAGTTTTTGATTCAGTAATCTGGGGTGGGGCCCCAAATTTACATTTCTAACAAGTTCCCCGTGATGCTGATTCTGCTGCCCTGGGAGCGCCCTTGAACAGCTGTTGGTTTTGAGCAACGTTTCTCAGTTGCAGCCCGTGTTGTAATTACCAGGCCGCGTCACAATGCCAACAGGCAAGCCGCACGGACTGACTAAACCACAGTCCCCGGGGGTGGGGGCCGGGCCTCAGTATGTTTAACTCCCCAGCCTTGAAAAACACCTCTTTGAAGTGTATCCCCAAATATGGCATATATAGCACTGATGAAGATCATTTTAAGTGATATAAGGATAAACATTTTATTTTTAATAGTTATGTATTTTTAGAGTTACCTTCTATTTATGACTCATGAAACTGTCTTTCCACTACAGCACTACAATTTGTAGTGGCAATTTAAAATGTATTGATTATAAAGAGCTTTTCAAGTTTACTGATTTAACATTTACTTTTTAAGTAGATGAATTTAAGGAACCATTTAAAGTAAATAAGGAAGGAGAGAGATGCATTTAGGGCAAAATCACGATGGCACGTGAGGTTTGGGAAATGCTGTTTGTTTCTCATGGAGAAACAAAATGAAAAAGATCTTTCATTAATGAAAACGGCAATTTTGAGAATATGCTCTGAGGAAGGTGTTCTGGATGTTGGGCAATTGGATGGGTGATGGCAGAGTTATTTAGGGAACATTTCCCAAAACTGGTAAAGACAAAGAAGAAAGGCATGTAGCTGGGAGTCTCTAGTGAAGACCGTGACCCATTCCACTGCCGTGCTTATCTTAGAATAAGAGGAGCACTGTGATGAAAAGGAAAATCTCTACCATCTCCTCAGACCCAGGGTCCTTTCCTTTTTCTAAGACCAAGCTTCTCCATCTGCTAAAACGATCTCCCCTAGCAGCCACTCTGGAGTCAAGAGGACTCTCAGTTATCTGGGGTTGCTGTCTCAGACAACACTGTGTTCACCAAGGACACAGGAGCACAAAACAGTGAAGCCAACATCCATCCACCGACAGCTTCCTGCATACCTAAAGATAGAAGCCAATAGACATGAAGCCATTTGTACTAAATTTAAGATAGAACTTAATTAACGGTGAAGTTCAGGTAGGATCTGACTGAAATTTCTTTTGCTCATTCATTTATTCATTATGCGTTCATGCCTTCATCCAGCCATTCAACAGAGTATCAGGGGCTGGGTCTGTTTTGTTCCCTGTTGTATTACCAGTGCCTACCACTGTGCCACACACAAGATAGATGACCACAAATCATTGTTGAATTAGTAAATGAATGAATGGATTCAACAAGTGTTTGAATATCTGCCAGGCCCCTGGCCAAGTCCTGGGAATGAAGTGAATGGGACCTCCAGGAGCTCACGGTTTAGTGTCAAAGATGGAGGAGTGAACAGACAGTAGCATCACAGAGTGGTTGTGCCATCACTGAGATGAGCACAGGTGAAATGGCGACACTCAGTCTGGTCAGGGAGGGTTGACAACAGAGGTGTCACCTGATTTGGGCCCTAAACTGGTATAGGAGTTGACCAGGCCAATGAAGGAAGCATGACTTTCCAGGAAGGGCAGCAGTATGTGCTAAGGCAGAAGGGCATGAGAAAGGAGGTGCATCAGTGGCCACCAAGTAGCTCATTATAACCAGGGCATGTGGAGGGAAGGAAGGAGGGACAGCTAAGGAGGCTTGAAAACTGGGGAGAGACCAAATCCCAGAAGACCATGTCAGCCATACCGAAGAATTCAGAGATGACCTGAGAGAAGACCCATAGAAGGGGTCTGAGCAATGGTTCATCATGACTAGATTTCAGCTTTAAAGGGAAATTTGTGTTGGTAGAGAGGAGAGGTGGAGCAAATGAGCCAGAAGCAATGGGAGCAAACAGACTGGACGGATGGCAGGGCAGGGCCTTTACTGGGAGCCAAGGTTGAAAAGGAAGGCAAGATCAGATTACTAAGGGACCAGAGGAGGACACTTATGTCTCTCAGCAGATGGTGACCCAGTATGGTTACGGATGGTCCCTCTGGGGGCAAAACTGTAGGTCGGTTGTAAGAAGACAATCAGAGGCTGTTATAGGTCAAGGTTTGCCTGGGGTGGTGGCCATGAGCAGACTTGAGAGATGGGTCAAGGAAATTAGTGGCAGGGCTTGACATATGCCTCCCAGAAATACAAAACGGGGCGCCTGGGTGGCTCAGTTGGTTAAAGCCTCAGCTTTTAACTCAGGTCATGATCCCAGGATCCTGGGATCGAGTCCCGAATCGGGCTCTCTGCTTGGCAGGGAGCCTGCTTCCCCCTCTCTCTCTGCCTGTATCTCTGCCTACTTGTGATCTCTGTCTGTCAAATAAATAAATAAAATCTTAAAAGAAAGAAAGAAAGAAAGAAAGAAAGAAAGAAAGACAAAACAAAGGTAAATTTAGGGTTTTGAACTTGGGTAATTTAGAAGATTTGCTATTCTATTGACTAAAATAGAAAATTGTGAAAAGAAAACTAGTCTAAAATTCAGGTATGGATAATGAGTTTGGCTTTGATCAAGCTGAGTTGAGCTAATGGTTGAACAACCAAGCAGAAACTGTGGTATGCCACTGAAGATTTTGGGCCAGAAGGGCCTGCAGGTCAAGACAGAAAGTTCTGGGTATCACGAGCAAAGAGATTCTATTTGGAGACTTTGAAATGGAGGGTAAAGGGAAAAAAGATAACAAGAGAAAGCTAAAAGCTTAACAGCAGCCTTGGGGGATATCACAGAGATGTGTCAAATGCTTAGAGGACTTTCAAAAAATGGTCTATAGGACACCTAAGATATCCCATAATGCTGAATGGAGCCCACCCTGGAGAGAGCTAGGCTCCCTGGAGAGAGAAGCAAAACAGGACTTCAGAGGCACAGGGGAACTCTTGCAGCCTGGGTCAGCAGGGACCAATCCCAGTGATACAGGTGGATTTTCATTCCAGCTGGAAGTACAGGACTTGATTCCAAAAGGACTGAATGTTAACAAAAATACAGTCCTTCATGAAGAATACATTTGGGTAGAAAATCAATCCTACATATAGAGTACATAAAAATGATTTCAAAAACCAGCTCTTTTGGGGGGATTCAAATGTATAGGTCCAACTCTGAGGTAAGTCTCTAGTGGTATGCCACAGGGCTCTGTCCTTAGCTCCTTCATTTACTATTTTTAACTGTAAGGTGTATGAAAGCTGCCTTGGCATGAAAGGGCAAAATGGCAGAAGATACAAAGCCAGGAGGGCTGGTAAGGACAAGAATAGGAGTAGAGATAGAATAGAATAGAATAGAATAGAAGAATAGAGTTAGGAATCAAAATGATCCTAACACATTGGAACAATAGACCAATGAAAGTGAAAGAGATATATATGAACTCCTACTTTGGAGGCCAAATACCAGGTACGTCCAGAAAGAACAGGGTAATTGGACTTGCAAAAAATGCTCAGGGACTCTAGTTGACAGGACACCCAATATTAGCAGCAAATATAGCTGGTCAAAATCAAATGAACAAATATGCAAGCAAAGAAAAACCCACAAAGCAAACCTTAGGGCCCATGATGAATAGAATTAGAGAGTTTAAACAAAGGAGCAGACAGTCCCCTGGGAGTCTGAACTGATCAGGCAACATCTGGAGTTCTGCATTCCAGTCTCTGTATCATATTTTGAGAAAGATGTGGATCAGTTAGAGCATGTCTAATCATTCCCACATATATCTGAAGCCTGAAGGTAGATGCTTAGAATACAAAGATGGGAAGGTCATAGTCCCTGCCACTGATGATGAGGGATATGGAAACCAATTTATATGAAGAATGGAGGAACTAGGAATGTTTAACCTGAGGAACAAAAGGCTTGGAGAAAGGAATGAGGGGAAAAGAGAGTGATATAAGAGACTAGACTCTCAATATTTATAGGACCGCCAGAAGGAAGGATCGAACTGACTTCAGATGCTCCAGAGAGTGGAATTCAGACTCTTTCAGGAATGAAGACTTAAGCTCTTTTTTTTTTTTTAAGATTTTTATTTATTTATTTGACAGAGAGAGATCACAAGCAGACAAAGAGGCAGGCAGAGAGAGAGAGAGGGAAGCAGGCTCCCCGCTGAGCAGAGCCCGATGTGGGACTCGATCCCAGGACCCTGAGATCATGACCTGAGCCGAAGGCAGCGGCTTAACCCACTGAGCCACCCAGGCGCCCTGAAGACTTAAGCTCTTGAAGGATGAAATTTCCATAATTAGAGCTGTCCTAAAATGGAGTGGTAGTGACGATACATGATGAGTTCCCTGTCACTGGAAGTAGTCAAGACGAGACTACAAAATCACCCATCAAAGAGTGCTATAGAGGGACGCCTGGGTGGCTCAGTTGGTTGAATGACTGACCCCTGATTTCGGCTCAGGTCATTATTTCAGAGTCCTGGGATAGAGCCCCAGGTCAGACTTCCATGACCCGTGGGGAGTCTGCTGGAGATTCCCTCTTCTTCTTCTCTCTCTGTCCCTCCCCCTGCTCCTGCACTCTGGCTTGCGCTCTTTCAAGCACCCTCTTTCTCCAAATAAATAAATAAATAAAATTTTTTAAAAGAGTGCTATCAAGGGATTGTCACTGGGTAAGATTTGAATAGTTGAATCCTAAATTCCCTTAAAACTCTAAAATCCTAAGATGCTTTCTTCAGTGAATGATGTGAGATTTCTCTGTTCTGTGGATGGATGAAACTAAGGTGTGAAGTGTGGCTGAGGCGTGCAGCTGGTGGAAGGCCATAGAAGGAAAGGAGTAACACTGAGAGAAATTGGCAAAGATGTCGGGCGGTTTATAAAAAGAAGGCTCTGTGCAAACCAGAGATGGAAAGAACTCAGGGGGGCAGTTTCAGATTTGTGTCGATGTGTGTGCTTGTGTGTGTTATTGTATAGGCTGCAAGTTTTTAAAACCCTGAATATTTCACATATAAATCCAGGTTTCCCATTGTCCTTGAAGAGGACTGGCACAGCCATTCCCAGGCAGAGGTAACGGAAGGAGCAGAGCACCAGGTCCCCTTGCATGAAGAATGAGGGACGCTGTGGGCTTCAATCCCTATCTCTCCCTGCTTCCCAGACCTGACCCTCGTCCCTCATCTATATTCCCCACTTGGCCCCTAAAAGCATTTGGATTTGCAGCCAGTTTTAAAATTTCACATGGGCTCTTTGGAGACAGAACCATGCTTTCCGTTTGGGGATTGCTAGTGCGTAGTCTGGTGCTTAGCAGATTCTCAGTAATGCAGTAATGTTTGGTAAAGGATCCTCGGGTGGGGTACCTGGATCTCAGCTCCTGGAGAAGGTTTCCCTGGAGTTCTATGCTTCCAGCACCCCATTAGCCTGACAGCCTGTAAAGCTAGGTTATCAGAAGTTGGCTGCCTGTCGCTTTCGTTTTAATAAATCAACATGTAACACTCGCAGTAACAGTGCCCTCCAAGCCGTTGGAACACTGATTTCTAACATTCATTTGTCTATCACATAATTGGCTTGTCGGTAACATCTGTAACCTGGTTATTTCCCCTTCTGGGTTGCCCACCTATGCTGATTAAGCTCCTTGATCTGCAGATATGAAAATGAGCAGCCATTTCGAAAGGCAGCGGAAGAGGAAATTAACTCGCTGTATAAAGTCATTGATGAAGCTAATTTGACAAAAATGGATCTGGAGAGTCAAATAGAAAACCTGAAAGAAGAACTTGGCTTTCTGTCAAGGAGCTACGAAGAGGTAGGTGGGGGCCGGGGCGACACTGGCTTGGTAGCAGCCCAGAGGCACGCAGGGGTCTGGTGAGCTCGCAGTCAGTGACAGTAGCTGCCGTCGGCCTCTCCGCCTCACTTGCCCAGGGCTTGGGCAAAACCCAAGTAAAATGCTTCCGAATCCTTGTAGTGGGTAAGGTGATGCTGGGAGTCTCCAATTCAGATGGCTTCAGGCCCAGGCTGGAACACAAATGAAGGAGAGGCAGGTCCACGCTGGAGAGTGAGGGAGCTGTGTCGAGCCAGAGAAGGCATCCCCTAACTCAAGGCCTTGTACTCTGGGGCCTTTTTTGTTGGTTGGTTGGTTGGTTGGTTGGTTTTAACGCTGCATGAAACAAACAAAATAACTTTGATGGTAGATCCAGGCTGTGGTTTGCACACACTCGTTAATGAAATTAGGTCAGCTCATGGAGTGACAGGACTCAATGGGACAATGCGACCTCCCAATCATGATTCGGTCCAGCTGCCTGCAGAATGGCCCCAACTCTGTTCCACCTCACACATGTCACTGTCTGAGCAGACATCGAATGTGCTTTTAGCTGAAAAGGTCAAAACCCACTTAACTGTGCTTTCTTGAGAAGTTCCTTCCTTTGTCTGACCTTAGGCTGACCAGGAGCCCTAAGTCCACATCCCCATGCTCCTAGCTCATTGCTTGCCACCCTTTAGTGACCTCTAAATCTCTCCCAGCCTACTCTGACTTAGCGAAATTCATAGATTTCATCTTGCTGTTGTTGCTTCCTCTGAATTAATTTGCTATTTATGCATTTGGTATTTGCTTTGAGTGGGCCCCGGCTTGCAAACACCAGCCTAAGAAATGCCTCCTGCTTGCAAAAGTCCATGGCATGCATGCTGGCAAGAGGGTCAGGGATTTTGCCAGGCTCTGGGAAGCCCCATGTTTGGCAGGAGCAGAATGAGAAGCACCAGGGGTGCCCACAGACCTGGGCTTTTGCTGGCAAAAATTCTGTGTGCTCTCCTTGTCCTTTGGAACTCACCTGGAGTGTATATTGTCTTTTGCAGGATGTGAAAGGGCTGTACAAACAGTTGGCAGGATCTGAGCTGGAACAAATGGGTGTTCCCATCGGCACTGGTCTGGACAACATCCTCGAGACCATCAGGATCCACTGGGAGAAAGATGTCGAAAAGAACCGGGCGGAAGCAGGAGCCTTGCTCCAAGCCAAGGTGAGGCAGGACCTTTTCCCTGCGCAGAAGGAGGCCAAGCAAAGGTGAAAGGCAGTCAACATAGGAAAGAAGAAATGCAACAGTTTCAATATCATTAGACATAAGATAAATACAATTTAAAATAATAACATTTTGTTTCCCTGTCTAAAGCCATAACATATTTAAAATGGTAATACTTGATGCGATGGGGACAAGTGCGTGATGAAGTAGGTTCTTCCCTATATTACTGAGGAGAGTAAACTAATATGACATGTTTGAGTAAGGAAATTGATGATATGCATCGAGAATCTTGAAATGCTCCTGCCTACCAGTTGAATAATCTAGACACTGTTCTAAAGAAATAATTGAAAATATAAAGTTTATATCTAAATGTATTCACTGAAACATTCATTATACGAATGAAAAAAATTGGGAGAAAAGCACCTGAATGTTTAATAATAAGAGTAAGGCTAAGCTACAACCTTTCCAGACAATGAAATACCAGGTAATTATTAGAAATATTTATGAAGCATTTATAACAACATGGGAAATGCTCACATAATAAGGTCAAATGGGGGAAAATAAGAGAGTACAGAAGTGTATATACCAGGAACCAATAAACTTTGTCAAGCACCAAAAAATAAATACCCAAAAAATAAATATGCGACTTCCTGGGTTTGACAGTCTACTACAACAATTCGGTCTATTACAACAATTTGAAAGACAAAAGGTAACACATGAGCATGACCGTGTTGCAATAAACTTTATTTATAGAAACAAGAGGTAGGCTGGATTTGCCAGCAGGCTGCAGTTGGCCAACACCTGATAGACACAGTAGAAAGCATTCAAACAAAGAAATGAGGCATCAAGCAAAAATTCAAAAGAAAACACTAAAATGTATTGGTGTTAGCAGTGGTTGTCTTTGAGGGAGGGACCTATCTGACATGTCGAGAGGTTTTTTATTTCTTGCTTTTGAGTATAATATTTTTTCAAGTGTTTTTTTAAGCAGTATGAGTTATATTCATGGAGGGAAACATCTCTTTATTAAACCTCATAAATAATAAAGGAATTAACCAGAACACAGAATGCACAGGGTTTGTTCTTCCCTTCTCCATCTCCCACCCCTGTGTGACTTGGGGATTCTGAGGCACAGGACCAGAAGAACAGAAGAGGAAGGAAAGTGTAGAGAAAGTATGAAAAATAAAGTAGCTTATATTTTTGAGAGAAGGCATGCGGGCAGCTTCTATGCTCTGGGTTACTGTTCGGTGGGTCTCAAGCCCATCTGCACAGCAGAATTATTCCAGAACATTGTCAAGAATGCTCATGCCCAGGCCAAAACTCTCTGGATGATTCTAATATACAGCCAGGTTTGAGAGCCACCAGAGTTTATAAAAGCTACCAGAAAAAAACCCAAGGAAGACCTTTTCTGTTCTTTGTTCTCCCATGTCCCTTCAGCCCCCTGCCCCCTCAGTATCAACAGGAACCTTCCCAGCAGGGTCTTCACCAATTCTGGATCCCCCAATGTTCTCCAGCCTCAAAAACATCTTAATGTTGTACCCAAGTTTTCGCATCTGAGAGACCACCAAGGAGCCAAGGTCCAATACAATCGCATGAGGGTTTATTTGACAAGCTTAAGCCTGGGCCCAAGTATACCCGATACAGCGGAGTAGGGGCTTGGACCCCGAGCCAGATTACAGTCAGAGTTTTTAAAAGCAGAGTAGGGGTGGACTCAGCGGTGGGTGAGGACAAAGGGGGTGTTCAGAAGGCCTATCAGGGTAAAGAAGACTGTCAGGATATTGAAGGCTTGGCTACTATCAAGCCAAGGCCGTTTTTCCCTTTAATGAGGCACTAGCATGAAGACAATTGGGAGTTTCCTGCTGGAATGTTACATTCTTGCTATCAAGTGTCCTTGTTCCTGAGATTTGGGTTTAGAAGAAATTTAACTTTATTTACTTTTCCTTCTACCTCAGCCTCCTTCAGTTTTGTTTATGGAGGGGAGGGTGACATTAGGGCTTAAGGAACTGAGTTATTTGTCTCTGGAAATTGGGCTAGACTCGAGGTGGGTACAGCCTTGTTTTTCTTGGCCTCCACACTTTACTCCCCGTTTCTCTACCCAGATCCCTTTTCAACAGCTCCTTTTCTTTCTGACCTTAATTCCTTGGGCCAGGTCCCTACAAATTCTTGCTATGGCAAATAGTGCCTACTAACTGCACAACAAGCTGTCTCCCACCCCAACCAGGTGAGAGGGGGAACAGCACAAAGGGAAAAATGAAACCTAACCATAGATGTGATGTGGGTCCATTGCTCCTTTTTTAGGAGACTCATGAATATTCATAATTCATGACCTGAGACACCACAGCATCCCCTTTCCTCACTTCAGAGGTGAGGATCCAGATCCAGGGAGGGCAGCTGATGTCCTGAAGTCACACAGCTGGCTGGCAGCACCGTCGCTCAGCCCTCCTGGCTCTCGGGTGAGGCACCTTTTCTCCACATTGGGTAGTCGTTCCTCCTCCGTTCTGTTTCCAAAGTGAAAGCTCTGTGGCCCAGCAGTTTGCAGCCTTGCTTCTGTCCCAACACTTCTGGGGCATACCCCACATTGCAGTGATTATTTCCTTGGGGAAGCGGGCGGGGGGAGGGGGACATTGTAAATAACAGGAAAAAATCTACATAGTGTGAAAAAGAAAAAAATCCTGGCCATTATTACTCACCCTTCACCCTCTTGAGAATCATTACCAGCCCAACAGTAATTCAAACATTAATTCTGAACAGATTCATTAGTGTTTTTTTTAACAGAGTAATCTTAAAGCTACATCTCAGAGAAAACAGACAGTACTTGTTTTCATTTGGCTAATGCTGCTGGGGCCTCTTGCAGAAAGGCAGAGCTCAGAAAATATTTGCAGAATGAGTGAATTCCTCTGATCATCAACAGAGATCAGAACTGAGAGCCAGAAGTCCTCCAATAAATAGTTTTGTCAGTTGCTGTCATGCCCTTAGGGGCTGACATTTGCCCATCCTGAGCACCTCTTGTCGGTTTCTTGGCAGCGAAGCATTAATGTAAAATGGCTTAGCACACACTCCTTTCAAACCTTTTGCAGAGAGCATACAGACACGTGTTTAATTACCTTTCAGGCTGGGGAGGCTGAAAATTAATTGACATGATTAATTTATGTCTTTGTTTAGGTTTCCCCAGAAACTGACTTTGTCTGAGACAAATATTAAAGAGGAAATGGTTTATCTGGAAGCTGGGGGAGGGAGTGAACCAAAATACCAGTAGGGAAGAAGCAGAGAAGGGAACCAACAAAGAACTCATTATCCAACCAGCACCCACTGGGGGAGACCGGACTATGCACCCACAGGGTTTCTGGGTAACAGTACAGAATTTAAGAGAGGGGAAAAGCGAGGAAGCTGGGGTAGTAATACCATCCCCATCAGACATCTGCCGTCTGCTAGCAGAGTGACCTTTCAAAGACTTCAGAGAAGGTTCTCCCAGCCAAAGAAGGGTAAAATCTGGCAGTGGAACAGAAGGGTGGGGAGAACCACATGTTCTGGAATAAAGCATCCTGAGGGATAAAGGTGGATGCCATCAGCATCTGCTCCCAAGTTATCTGCTAATTCCTCTTATTTTTAAGTCATTAAAAGCTTATAAAGAGATTCGGGCTAGGTTCTCTCCAGCCTCGGTCATGGATGTCAGGAACTTTGGTGGTCCAGCTTTCAGAGCTTCTCAGTTCTGTAACTCCATGTTTGAGGGAGGGTCAGTTTGGTCCAGAGAATTTCTGGAGGGTCTTCCAAGTCGGCCCTCCCTTATCTGCTTATTGTGGTTACCCAGCCCTGAGTATTTGGGGATGCTTGGGGAACCACAGACAACATGCCATCCCACTCTCCAGACCTCCTGGCTACCCATGGAATATATTCCCCACAGACCCTAAACAGGCCACCTGGGTGAATATGGAAGAACCCCTATCATTCAGCTTTTTCCTAGCATGCCTATGTTAAGATGCTTCCATTCTGTAGCAGGCAACTTTCATTCTTAACCTCCTCCCTGGGATCTTCCTCCCGGGGAAGGGCTCCATACCGTCACTCCTGGAAGCCTCACCTCTGTCCCTTATTCACTGCAGTGGGAGGGTGTGTACAATAACCAAAGGCTTATTCAATTGCCAGCATTAGCTGGCGTGGTGGGGTAGGAAGTGCCAACAAAAGAGAACTCAGCTTCCTTTCAATACCCCCGGGGGCCTGGAACCTCACAGCAAATGCGCTCATGCCATCTCTTCCGACAGTTGTCTGCGCTTGCCTCGGATCAGTTCAAGGCATTTGTGGTCAGGAACTTTATGGGAGCTATAATGACCATGCCTTAAACAGCCCCAATGACACATCATGGAGACAGTTAAGAATGAAGAGAGGTGAACAGATGGAAATGAGTTGTGAGGTTTCTGGTTATTGATAGTCTTAGAGCTGGATGAGACATTAGCCACTGACTAGAGCAGTGCCCTCTAATAGCAATTTCTGTGAGGATGGGACTGTCATGGGTCTGCACAGTTATCTAGTATGACAGCCACTGGCCACATGTGCTCTTGAGCACTGGGAATGTGTCTGATCCAACTGCGAAACTGAGTTCTTAATTTTATTTAATGTTTACTAATCTTTATTTAAATAACTATGTGCGGCTAGTGGCTACCATATTGGACAACGCAGGTCTAGATCTGTCCATGAGCAGACTAGGAACCTTGGATAACATGTCTCCATATCATCCACATTCACAAACAATAATTATATAGGCTGTCATAGCAATGCCCACTCTTTGCTTGCTTGTACCAAGAAGTGTGAATATTTTCTAGAATATACGAAATTGTATGGAATGGGTTTCTGCTAGTCAACCGAGGTCTGGCTCTAGATGACAAGATGGTCTGATGTGATATCCCCATGAGAGCCAACAGGGAGAGTTCCTTTCAAGGAGAATAGAAAGAGCAGAACCCCAAAAGCATCTATAATCTAGGGGGTCCCTGTGCGTTCATGAGTCAGCTATA